AGAAGGACTTGGGGGTACTGGTAGATGAAAAGCTGGACATGAGCCAGCCATGCGCGCTCGCAGCCCAGAAGGCCAATCGTATCCTGGGCTGCATCCAAAGAAGCGTGGCCAGCAGGTCGAGGGAGGTGATTCTGCCCCTCTACTCTGCTCTGGGGAGACCCCACCTGGAGTACTGCCTCCAGCTCTGGAGCCCTCAGCACAGGAAAGACATGGACCTGTTGGAGTGGGTCCAGAAGAGGGCCACGAAAATGACCAGGGGGGTGGAACACCTCTCCTATGAAGAAAGGCTGAGAGAGTTGGGGTTGTTCAGCCTAGAGAAGAGAAGGCTTCGGGGAGACCTTATTGCAGCCTATCAATACTTAAAGGGGGCTTATAAAAAAGATGGAGATAAACTTTTTAGCAGGGCCTGTTGCGACAGGACAAGGGGGAATGGCTTTAAACTAAAAGGGGGTAGATTTAGACTAGCTAGAAGGAAGAAATTTTTTACGCTGAGGGTGTTGAAGCACTGGCACAGGTTGCCCAGAGAGGGGGTGGATGCCCCATCCCTGGAAACCTTCAAGGTCAGGTTGGACGGGGCTCTGAGCAACCTGATCTAGTTGAAGATGTCCCTGCCCACGGCAGGGGTGTTGGACTAAATGACCCTTAAAGGTCCCTTCCAACCCAAACTATTCTATGATTCTATGAACTCTTTATTTTAATTAGGTTTTCAGTTATCCCTTTATGAAAAGTGCTCTGTGAGTCTCTGAAAGTATTGCAACTACTTAAATAAGCTCCTGGTGCGCCTTCTCAGAGCTAAAGTCGACATTAATATCATTATGAAAGGCTTTATTGGGTTTTATCTGTTGTTTTTAATCTTTTGTGGAATGCTGTGATCTTGTTCAGGTATCAGTTTGATATCTTTTCTTGATTTGGTGCTGGACACGTCAAAACATTGGCCGTGCAAATAATCTGTATTCCTTACCACGGCAGTAGTGACGTGCGTGGTTTAGAGATTAGTCAAAATGCTGTTGTGCATGATTGAGCTATGGCCAGTGCTGTATTTATATACTGTATTTACTGTATTTATCATGTTTACAGAATGCAGCAGCTCATAGTCTCCTAACCAGAGTTAAAATGACTGCATATTTAAGTAGCAATCTGAAAATAAACTGTAGTCAGAGCTGGTAACGGCGCCTGTTAAAATGGTTGTTTGACACTTTCTTTTATAATTGCGTGCAAAATGCCATTTTTAGTTAAACTTGGGAAGAGTTTCGTAGGAATGGCAAAAAGCTAAAAGTCATTAAGACAGTGGATACCACTCAAGTATAGACTCAAAAGCATCTGAACTGTGTTGACTGAAATTCCACCCTTCTTTCTTTTTACCTCAGGTTTACTTGAGGCACCAAAAAGGGAAACTCAGTCCACGAGGTTAAATTTTATCCAAATTATAAACACCTGGCAGGATATTGGTTAATAAGAGACAGTGCTAAACGTAGAAATACATGGACTACAGTCGGGTAGAATTAGCTGGTCTTTGATGATGCCGTTTACATACAACCTGCATATGGTACCAGAATGCGTTTTAAAAGTGGATTTAATGATCTGTTACATTAATAACAAAGGACTATGAGAATAAACTCATGGAACGATGCTCATTTCATCTGCTGTGGCTCCAGTAACATTTTAGACGATGTGATGATATTCACTGCGTTATTGCAACACCGAAGAATTCTTACTTTCCTTGTTTGAAAGCAGTAAGTAGCTGACTCTGAATATGAGCGATAGCTGTTCTCAATGCAAAGATCCTATTTCTAGGTACAGTTTAGTGTTAATACTTTGATAAAGCTCGGGAAGACATGGATCATACTGTGCTAGGTGCTACGCACAAAATTCAGAAAGGTATCAAAGCCTTAAATGATAAAAAGTCGTATGTATAAGACAAGAGATGGCAAATGGACCTAATCCAGAAATTAAGTAGTAGAGTAGGTTTATATTTACTTTCAAAAGTATTTAATTGGTAAGATTTTGAGGACAACATTTCCTGTGCTGATTTCATCTTCTGTTGCACTTTGCTTTATCTTTTCCTATGTTTCCCTAAGTATGCTTCCAACAAAAGCTTGGATTAGGAAGAAAATACAAAACATGTTTTGTAACAACAAAAATACTCCTGCAGGATATGTAAGATAATTAGTCAATGAGAATGTGTTATGTTTCCAGCACCCAACTGGAATAGCTGTTCTTGAGAGAAGAGCAATATTGGAATTAGCGATCATGAGATTTTAAAAATATGTTACCTTTTGTCAAAACTGAAAAGGAACATTTTCGAAGAAAATTTATTAGCAGGGTTAAATCAAGTACCATTCAGATCATCCTTATTTGGGAAATATTAATTGCCAGATTAGTTTGGGGATGAGGAACGTGTCTTGCTGTTTAGTTTATCAAAGGGTATTTAAAGAGGAAATACGTTGCTAATCTGTAAATGGCGACTAGGGAGAAAGGCTTGGAAAAGCATTGAAAGGTAAAATAGCTATTTTTGTGAAAACCAAACGTGTATAAATTGGCTGTGAATAAATGGAGGTGGGAATTAAAGGCTGTTCCTAATCTTTAATTAACACGGGTTCTGAAAGAGAAGTCAAACTGCACAGAAAAATGACTTATTAAAACAGGAGTAGGAAACATTTTTTATCTCGTGTGTCCATAGTTTTGTTATAATAAGATCGACACTGAACACAAAAGCGTATCTATGCAATACTGTGACAGCTTTCTAGAATTAAATCATTTGTCCAAACTACAGAGTAATCTTACTCATTTTAGTGTGTAAAAATAACTTTGATACTCCAAGGACAGACTTTGTTTTCTTTTTTCCCCCTTTTTTTTTCCCCTTTTTTTTCCCCCTTTTTTTCCCCTTTTTTTTCCCCCTTTTTTCCCCCTTTTTTCCCCCTTTTTTTCCCCCTTTTTTTTCCCCTTTTTTTTCCCCCTTTTTTTTCCCCTTTTTTTTCCCCTTTTTTTTCCCCCTTTTTTTTTCCCCCTTTTTTTTTCCCCCTTTTTTTTTCCCCCTTTTTTTTTCCCCCTTTTTTTTTCCCCCTTTTTTTTTCCCCTTTTTTTTCCCCCTTTTTTCCCCCTTTTTTCCCCCTTTTTTCCCCCTTTTTTTCCCCCTTTTTTCCCCCCCTTTTTTCCCCCCCCTTTTTTTCCCCCCCTTTTTTTCCCCCTTTTTTCCCCCTTTTTTTCCCCCCTTTTTTTTCCCCCTTTTTTCCCCCTTTTTTCCCCCTTTTTTTTCCCCCTTTTTTCCCCCTTTTTTTCCCCCTTTTTTCCCCCTTTTTTCCCCCTTTTTTTCCCCTTTTTTTTCCCCTTTTTTTTCCCCCTTTTTTTCCCCCTTTTTTCCCCCTTTTTTCCCCCTTTTTTTCCCCCTTTTTTCCCCCCTTTTTTCCCCCCTTTTTTTCCCCCCTTTTTTTTCCCCCTCCATATACCTAATTATTTTCTCAGTATTATTTGTTGCATGCGATTACAAATGACAATTTTTTGGTTAAAATTCCAAATGGACAGTAAAATACGGGAGGCAAACGATGCAACCTGATGCATCATTTTGAGCAAAGGGGTGGAAAAAATGAGAACGTACTAACTTGGCTCTTAATAATTGTAATGCTGTAATACTGTATCTGCTCTTCAAATACCATTTATTTTAAAAAAGGCTTTCAATGCAGTCTATCAAGCAGTTATAAAAATTATTAGCCTTGTGACTTTAATAAACTTCTATTTTGTGACAAATCCAATAGGCGTAAATACTTTAAAGGGTATTATTGCTGTAGAGTGGAATAAATCTGCAGCTATATTTCTTTCTTGTGTCTCTGTTAGTTGGTAATTGACATGGACCAATGTGCAAAATAAGGTAAGCTATTAATAACTCAGTAAATGTCTTATGTTGCCAAGCAGGGATTTGAAATTATATACTGCTGTGCATTTAGAGGTAATATTTAATTGCAAAGTAATGAAGATATGGTATGTTTAAATGTGTATATTTTTATTTATTATCAAACTTGTCACGAAGGGGTAATAAATTAGAATTTTTTATGTACGTTGGAAGCAAGTTGGTTTCAAGGTGCTCCTGCCGTTAAGAAATGCCAAGGCTATTCGTCTCTCACGGGTCAGATTAGAAGAAGAATGGAGTGTGTTCGTGGGATGGATGGAATTTTTAGTGGCGTTGGCAGCGGGGTGTGGGGGGTGAGATATGGGTAGCCCTGAGACGTGGCACACAGAAACGCTCTGCTCTTATGATGGTTCTCCAGAGTCTTCAACTCTGTGATATTCACACCTCGGACTACGTTATGAGCGTGGCATCAAAATTGGTTTGAAACCTCTTTCCATCTCCCCAGCCCTGAGCTGGTACCTCGGCACCGGCTGCAGCAGCCTGCCTCCTTCTCCAACCACAGCCGCTGGCCCTGGGGGACCAGAGGGGGCTGGGGGGTGAGGGGGCGCTGGGGAAGCCCCTTCCTCTCCTGCGGCTGAAAAGGGCCATGGGGGACGCTCACAAAACCCGCCTGTTCCCAGAGGCCGGCACCCCGCCGTGCCGAGGCGCCGTTTCTGTGGCGCGTTCGTGTGCTCCTCGCGGTCCCTGTCTGCTTAGAGCTGCACCCCTGACTGTACGGGGCGGGCATGAGGGTCTGCACACCAAATGCTTTATGGTAGCGGTCCCTTCGTTTGTTTGCAGGGGTCCCCGCGCAGCAGAGAGGGCAGCCATGTGGCACGGTCGCAGCAGCAGCCGCAGGTTGCTGCGTGCAGGGCAGTGTGCCAGCACAGGGGCTCGCTGGGAAGAAATATCCTGGAAGATGTCTTTTTTTTTTTTTTAACTGCATATCATTTTTGATCATCTCTAGTAATGTATTTGTCTGCCCCAGTTTGGGAACTCTGCTTTCTGAGACCCGTAAGTGAATGCCTCTTGGCCTGACGTGTTGAAAGGTTAAGCTGTGGTTTCCAGCTGCGTGTTCACGTGTTTAATGAAGGTTTTCTTTTTTTGTTTGGTGCAGGGCCGTATCTGCAGAAAAGCTGGCAAATCAAAAAAGTCATTCAGTCGAAAGGAAGCTGAAGCAACATTTAAGAGTTTGGTGAAGACCCATGAAAAATATGGGTGGGTGACCCCGCCCGTCTCTGATGGCTGATGTTAGCAACCTGCACTTGACAAAAATGCTGAACAAAAGTACTGTGACATCTCCTCAGTGCTGTACACCACCCATCCTTTTCTACTTCAGCTTCAGTTACATACCATGAATGTCAAGGAGACATCTAAGTTATTTATGAACAGATGTGTTTACAGAGGGAGAGAAAAAAAAAAGTGCTGTGTAGGATTATATTTCAAGACTGGAGAATGGTCATCATTGAAGTCGCTTGAGCGGATGCTGAGATTGCGTCATTTGCCCCCATACAGCCCCCATTGTCTTCAGCTTCTTTCCATGACAGCAGCACCAAACAGCAGTACTGGAAAGTCTATCCATTACTGCTCAGTTCATTTAAATGTAAATGAAACAGTTAATATTTAATAGGGAAGCAGTGCATTGCAGGTACATGTTTGCTGTGCTGTTTATCTTTGTCTCCTAGCAGGTCAACATAACTTGAAGATTTGTCTTTATGTGGAACTGTGGTCTGCTGTGACTAAATTTAGACCTCATTTGTGCTCTATATATGACCTTTAATTCATAAATGAAACCAGAATTAAAATGCTGAAAGGTCCTAGTGTTGAAAAATTATTAAGTGGAATCACCCAACCGGTTACAATGTGCTATCTATGCTGATATTGTGATGTGCTGTTCAGAAATAAACCAGTGCAGTTAGCCGAAGGTTAGGTGGTGTTTTTTAAACACATGCACGCCAGGGCTTGGCGTGGTCGGTGGTAGCAGAACCATTATTACCCTGCCGGTACCTTCCGCGGTAGCATGTGGCCTGTCAGTTCTTCAAAATGGCAAAACACACGAATGGAAATGGACAAAGCGACCTTAAAAAATTACCTGCTTAATTTTAAAATGATATGCCAGAAACAGAGTAAAAATTTTCAAGGCAAATGGAACATGGTTTGTAAGATGAGTTGCATGACTGGAATTTTCTTTTTTATTTTCACTCAATAGACATTGTATGTACTTAGAGCCCAGTATCTGAGAAAACCCACTGATGTATATAAATGTCCTATTATTTAATCATTAAGATTTAAGTTTTCTGGTAAACAAATTGAAAAAAACTTTCTAAGGGACTCCATAAAAGCTGAAGGTAATGTTTAGAATGGTTTAAGAAAAGCATTGAAAAATGTGGATTCCAAATGGAAAATCGTATTGGACACATGCTGAATAAAATCACCAGTATAATTTCTGTTGCCTGAGGAATTCAATCATTTTGGCCAACTTTTGTCTTCAAAATAATAGGTTTTCCACTGTGAAATTCTAGGCACCTTATAGAGATATATCTGTTGTGGCGATATTTTAATTGAAAGCAGGACAGTATCGATTGTAAGACTAATTTGGAGGGGGAGAAAAGGTATGCATTTGAAAACACTTTCCATTCTGTGGCTAACACAAGACCAAATCAAAACGGTTGATCGGTTTCTGTTTGTATTACAGCAACAGTGGACGCTGCACAGAGAGTTTTGGGGTTTGGAGCTTGATTTAAAACTACCCACAGCGGAGAAGAACAGAAGAGTAATGAGGGACAGAGGGGTTTGAAGGCAAGCAAAGAAGCAGCACAGCAGATATTTGTGCAAAAACACTGCTCAGTTTATCTGTAGATGCTTTGCCAGTGTAGCTGTTAGTCTAGATAGGGAGAAAAACAATCAAAGCCGTCACCAAAACGGTGATGCAGGTCCAGAGCCACTCAGTTTTGTGGACATGGCTGGTTACTTACACTTCTCATCTCTATACCAGCTGCCTCGCCTCTTTCTCCTCTGACCGTTTGTGGTACCCACCTGGTGTGCCTTATCTCAGTTACAAATGGAAATGCTTCATACCACAAATCTGCACAGACCTTGCTGTGATTTATCTCACCCTGCTTTATACTTGGAGATGACGCTATAATCAATGTATATATACTTTTCCCCTCAAACTGTGTATCAATTCTGTGCATCCAGCAGCAGAATGTGTCTTTTGAGTGAGGAATAACATTTCAAGTAATTTATTTACTCAGTTTTATAAACATTTTCTTGCTATCCTCTATGAAAGAGGAAACTAGTATGTTTAGTTAGGCGTGAAATAATTTGCACTCCCTAGTGGGACTCCCTGAGAACATATGGAGGGATCTAGCACTGGAAAGCATAAGGTTTGTTATTTCCCTTCGGAAAAACTCTTCCCTCATCAGCACAGTAAAACTATGTTAAAAGCAGTGTGAAGGTGTCTTTGGGGGGGGGATTATTTCTTTCTCTGCTGTTTTTTAACCTGCCTCTTTTTTCTGTCAGTGGGTTATTTTAAGTCTTCCTGAGAACCATATCTTTAATATTTAATTAAAGGGTTAGCTAGAAGGAACGTAGTGGGTGGATTGCTACCACTTCCCTCAAACCTACTTATTATGTGTCTTCTTAAGTGTGCTTTAAATAGTTATAGCAAACATCATTGCTAAAAATCACAGTTACTTTCTGGCTGTAGGAGGTTCTCTGTATCACTCAGAGTCTTGGAGCAGTAGGAGAGGCAAATCAAAAAATCTGGAGTGCTTTGAAGCTGTAGCAGAAGGGGGGCAGAGCGCGTGTGATAAGCTGCAGCAACAAATCACGCAAGGAAGAAAGAAGGAAAAGTACACTGCATGAAGTAGGGCAGGATGAAGTTCCTGCCACACCAAAAATAAGACTGCTCCTATTGAAGAGATGGCCTATAGCAGGAGCAGCCTGTGCTGGGGGAGATGCAGGAAAAAGGAGACGGCAGGGAGCACAGAAGCATTGTGCTTCTGACCAGGGAGGAAGGGAGGTAGCTAGGAATGTAGTTAATTAAGAGATTTAGAAAGAGGGTTGATCTATTTTAGGGAAAATTAGCTCATGGTTTTTGTCTAGCTGTATGCTAGGCAGGTTCTACTTTCTCTGCAACAGACAAGCCTAAAAAAAGTGAATGAGAAAGTTGGGAAAGGAAAGGTGTGTGAGAGGAAGGAAGAAGCCTGATGATGGAAGGGTATAAAATGAGGGATCAAAGGAGAACAGCACAGTACCAGAAAAAGCAACAAGGAGGGCTGAAGGACAGCAGTTCAGAGAGGACCTACTGCAGGAGCTGATTGCAGAGCTGCTCCAGGTGCCTTCCTGTTGAGGGAGCTTCAGTGAAAAAGATCCTATAATGTCCTTTTTGTTTGTATCCTAGAAAGTGATATGTGCTTCCTCCTTGTTCTGTCCTCCTCCTGGCAGCTGAGAAGGATGTTAAAATTTGGAGCTGTGGCATGGAACGCAAATCAGGCCATCGCCTCACTCGTGTCACTGAGAAATAAAGCCAAGTGTCATTCCCAGATCCTAAACTCGAGGAGGCCAAAGTCAAAATAGATTGGCCAGTTGTCTGCTTTGTCAAAGTTCCTCAATATCAAAGAAGCGGGAGGATTTTTTTTGCAGGCAGAAAACATCAATATTCCCCCTTTATCCAGTCAAAAATCTCCTTAGGACTTCTTCTAAAATTAGCAGTCAGCACAGGTCCTCCAGCTCTTACTAAACCCATTTTATCAGGAATATTGTTTTCCATCTGCTGTCCCCAGAACGGATGATTAATTTGAAACTAGCATCTGGGGAGGTGTGGAGTTGTATTAGGAAGTAACTTCCTGTCTTTTTTAGAATATGTCCTTTTGGAGGACCTTCTTTGAGTCTGAAAAAGCTACCTGACTGAATACAGGCATTGAACGAAGAAAGCTTATGACAAAGGAAGAAAGCTGTCTCTGAACACCTAAACACTGAAAGATCTCCACAAAGAACAGAGGTGATGATTTATACAGGAATGTATTTCTGTGTCATTAGCAAATGGTCCTAAAAATTCAACAATCAAAAACTCAGCAGTCAAAGACCTCTTGAACTTGCCTTGTTTTCTCTCCCAAAGGCAGCGTGTCTCCTTCATTCCAGTCTAAACTTGAGTCCCGAGTCCAAAGAAAGATAAAAGGTATGGTCTGTTTATTTGGTGCTATGATACTGTATTATATAAAAAAAGACTCACTTCATTCTCCTTGTCCAAAGCAGTACATAAGATCCTAAAACGGAGCTTCTTGCATAAACAGCAGGGTTGGGACAAAGCCTTTCTAGTATAACAAATAGATGTGGCTGTGTAATATATATACTTTTAGAAAACTCATTTAGAAAGACATTCAGAGTCACAACTGCTAAGCGGTGATTGCTGTGATGGCCAGTGCTCTGATGTGTATGTACTTTCCATTCCACGGGAACTTGCAATAGAGAGAAATCTATTCTTGATAGGCTGACTGTACAGAGAAAATGCTGTAGAACTAACTGGCATTTGGGATTTAAATCTCAGGGTTTTCTTCGCCACGTTTTACTCTTTTTTCCAGGATTTTCAGGCACAGACATGGAGCCATAGTATCTTCGTTTTACGCTAGCATTACGGGCAGCGTGGTTATTTACATGACTCCAACGAGGTTGTCAATTATGAACACACTTCTTGTTGATGAAGTTTTTAGAGGATAACTGTCTTCCAGTTCAATGCCTGGGAGCTTGGCTGATGTACTGAGGATTTACTTTTTAGTGTTACATGGGCAGCTGCGATGCATGCTTAGGCATCTGAAAGCTTAGCTGAAATTACATGGGGAAGCATTTGCATAGAGTCAGTGTGAAAGGTTTGTCTCTTCCATGCAGTAGGTAACTTCTGGTGAAGAAGGTTCCTCTCAAACTGTACTATGAACTATACAAACAGAATTAAGCAGGCCAACCTGCTGGTAGAATATGATTTTCCAGTTACATATCCCCTCCCTGACAAGCACCAACCTATATTAAATAGTCTGCTACAGATGTCACATTTCAGAAGATGACAGTCAGAACAGATGCTGAAGAAAAACTCCTGGGTACGTATCTCCTCCAGCCTTCCCGCTGCATTCCTGGGGGGAAGATGCAGCCCTGACCTAAGTGAATGAGAGAGACCAAGAGGGCTGTGCACGTGCACTAAGAGCATGCACTGCCCTGCAAAATGCCAGCTGTGGGAACCTGGGGGCAACAAGCCCCTGAGCTCACCTAGGCAGTGTGCATCCTGTCTTGATTCACATACCGATCTTGCAAATACTTTACAAACGTGTATATTACTTGGATTGAGTCAAAGGGTTCAGTACATCGCTGACCTGAGTTCAGATTTGCAGAGCAGATGGGTTACTAAATATGCCCTGGAGGTTTTCGTGTAAGTTAGTGACACATTTAAAGTTTTGCTTTGCTCGCTCTGAAGACTAAAGTGGCTGTCAAACTAGGTCTGAGGACAAATAGGTTGAAAGTGAGTCACCTGCTATTATCAGCACAGCTGCACTAGAGAGGTGGTTTTGTTTGTACATCAAAGGGTAGAGGTGAGGTACTGCAGCAAGAGCAGCCAGTAGGACATTGTAAGAAGTTATAAAGACAGAGCTTGCCTCTCTGTCATCCCCTCCCCTCCCCCCCGTATTATTGTCTGCTTAATTGCATCCTCTTAAATGTACATTGCTCTGCTTTGTAGATTTTACCCCCCTTTATATCACTGCAAAGTTTTACCGATATGCTAAGGAAACCTTAAAACACATCATGTAAATTTACATTTAAAGCCTGCATTTCAATCTAGAAGCATGCAAATGCCATGCTGACACCTGTCAAATTTCACCAACAGCTTCCTCACACTAGTAAGTCTTGGGCAAATCAGTGATGACGGTAGTTAACACAAAAATAGAAACTCTGTAATTTGGATGTTTGACTTAGTCTTTTCCCTGATTGCTTTGTCTTTCAGTTTGATTGACTTCAGATGAGAACGTCAAGCTAACAGCAGTGAAACTGTCATAGTGTTGTTTATTTATAACAGTTCCTTTTGTTCATGCTGCTAAATAAGGTGGCAATAAATATTCATTGCAGTTGTGTTTCACCAAGTGGGGATTCAGAGATAACTCCTCACACTCTGAAAACTTTGCATTTTATACATAGTGTTTGCCACCACACTTAGCATTCATTATCTTTTGCTGTCAAGTATTCTTGTGTTTTCTTACTCAGTGACCTCATGTGTTTCAAATTAATTGTGGTTTACTAACAGAAACATTGAAGTATGTTGCAAGTCCTCTTGGCAAAATCAGTGAAATGTAACTGAACCAAATCTAATTGTCTGTGTGATTTAGAGGAGTTCTTCAGTTGCCATTTGCATTAACAAGATCTGTAGACTTTTACTAAAGATTCCCCTTCTGAAGTTCCTCAA